TATACAAAAACAAATCAAAACTATGGAATTCTAATTGATTTAATAAATTGGAAAATGGACTTATGAATGACAAGCTAATGAGTGTTGAGAATAGTGAACATTAATGCATATATCGAGAGAAAGATGCATGAAATGAAAAGAAGAACAATGTATAAAAAGAAATCATCAAAGAAAGAAAAAAAATATTACTTGCGTCATCAAGATGTTCAGACAAAAATTCACAACTGTGTGGTATAATCCATGCCGTCGTTCGACTATTCGGTGTTCCAAAAATAATATTATCTCGAGGCAAAAAGAGAGTCATGAGTTAGCAGTAGAGGCGAGAGTGTACAGACAAAGAGAAAGAAGATAAAGAAAAACAAACAAAATTTAGTATTAAAAAATTTTAGGTGTTAGATTAAAAATTATAGTACTTCATAGCTCATAAAATCATACAAATAAGCAAGTTAGAAAATGAGAGGACACCGAAAAAAAAAATTGGTCCTTGAAGAACATAAAAATAGCTATAACCTTGGGCGAAGTTTTCCCTCAGGGCACCAGACGGTCCTCTACGTCCGCATTCCAGACCAATCGCCACGTGGAGTTGCGGGTCCCACATTTCTACGTAATAAAACAAAAAAAGATGCCTCGTTGAAGCCCGACCCGGTCCGATGTTCCAGCGCCTTTTCGAGTATCCCGCCTTTTCGAGTGTTGAGAATTACTTTTCGTGAAGACATTTTTGGAAATTTTGGTAAGGGTTATTTTTGCTAGGGTTTTCGCCGTTCGTTCGCTTTGCTAGGGTTTCACATTTCATTCGTTTGATAGCTTCGAAGTTGTAACACCATGGAGTTAAATGATCCGAAGAGTCCGCAAGTCGAAGAGGCGTCAAGAACACAATCATAAGAGGTAGAGAGGATAGAAGTTGAACAGCCGCCGAAGACAAAGAAACAGAGGAAGAAGGAGGGCATTGAGAGGGAAAACTTGTCCTGGTAACTGTCATTTTATTTTCATGTATTTTTTTGGATTATAAGTTTTGCTTTGTCTTTTAGTTATCTCAGAGGGTATACATTTTAGTGTTGAAGGATTTGGGAGGTATTTTCAGCTTATTTCTGGGTTATACATGGTTTATTAGAGAATTTATTCCTGGGTTATTGTTAGATTATTATTGGGTTATTCTTGTGTTACTCTGAAGTTTAGTATTTGTAGGTTATTCCCCGATTATTTTTATTTTTTTAGGTTATTTTAGGTTGTTCGTGGGTTATTTTTAAGTTATTCTTGGGTTATTTTCAGGCTACTTGTCGTTTTTCCACAGCTTATGCCCAGGTTATTTTTAGGTTATTTGTAGGTTATTCCAACATTATTTTTACGTTAATAGTTGATTAATTTTAGGTTATTCTTGGGATATTTATATGTTATTTTTAGGTTATTTTTAGATTATTTTAAGGTTATGTTTAGGAAATTTTTAGGTTATTTTAGGTTATTCGTGGGTTATTTTTACGTTATTAATGAGTTATTTCAGGTCACTCGACGATTTTCAGAAGTTTATGTCCCAATTTTTTTTAGATTATTTTTAGGTTATTCCTACGTTATTGTTACATTATTCGTGGGTTATTTTTAGTTTATTATTGGGTTATTTTTAGGTTATTCTTGGGTTATTTTCAGGTTACTCGTCGTTTTTCCGCAGTTATGCCCAGGTTATTTTTAGGTTATTTGTAGGTTATTCCTACGTTATTTTTACATTAATAGTTGGTTAATTTTAGGTTATTCTTGGGATATTTATATGCTATTTTTAGGTTATTTTTAGATTATTTTAAGGTTATGTTTAGGGAATTTTTAGGTTATTTTAGGTTATTCATGGGTTATTTTTACGTTATTAATGGGTTATTTTCAAGTTGCTCGTCATTTTTCAGCGGTTTATGCCTCAGTTATTTTCAAATTATTTTTAGGTTATTCCTAGATTATTGTTACGTTATTCGTGGGTAATTTTTAGGTTATTCATGGATTATTTTTAAGTTATTCTTAGGTTATTTTCAGGTTACTCGTCGTTTTTCCGCAGTTTATGACTAGCTTATTTTTAGGTTATTTGTAGGTTATTCCTACGTTAATAGTTGGTTAATATTAGGTTATTCTTAGGATATTTATATGCTATTTTTAGGTTATTTTTAAATTATTTTAAGGTTATGTTTATGGAATTTTTAGGTTATTTTAGGTTATTCGTGGAATATTTTTACGTTATTAATGAGTTATTTTCAGGTTACTCGTCGGTTTTCAGCAGTTTATGCCCTGATTATTTTTAGATTAATTTAGGTTATTCCTACGTTATTATTCCATTATTTGTGGGTTATTTTTAGGTTATTCGTGGGTTATTTTTAGGTTATTCTTAGGTTATTTTCAGGTTACTCGTCGTTTTTCTGCAGTTTATGTCCCGATTATTTTTAGGTTATTTGTAGGTTATTCCTATGTTATTTTTACGTTAATCGTTGGTTATTTTTAGGTTATTCTTGGGATATTTTCATGTTATTTATAGGTTATTTTGAGATTATTTTTAGGTTGTGCTTAAGTTATTCCCAGGTTATTTTTAAGTTTTTTATCGACAATTTTTATGTTAATTTAGGTAGTTCGTGGGTTATTTTTAGGTTATTCGTGGGTTATTTTTAGGTTATTATTGGGTTATTTTAAGGTTATTCGTCGGTTTTCCTCAGTTTATTCCTCAATTATTTTTAGGTTATTTTTTATTATTTTTAGGTAAATTGTAGGTTATTTGTGATGTTATCTTTAGATTATTTGAGAGGTATTTTCAGGTAATTCCTCAGATTTTGTTAGGTTATTTTTCGATTTTTCCACAGTTTATTCTTCAGTTATTTCTAGGTTATTCTATGGTTATTCCTCTGTTATTCTTGACTGGTCGATGAGTTAATATCAGTATTGATAAAATGTATCTTATTTCTGTACGTTGATAAACAAACAGTCTATGAATTGTAGATGTCTTTCATCAACAGTAAGAGAAGTGTTGGACAAGGTTCGACCAAAAATTGTCTCTCAGGAGACATTGTCAATTCTGGGAATGTTGAAGCTGAATCAGTTTTTGAACTGCCCCCCCTATCCTCAAATATCACATCCTAACTATGCACATATTGAATTATTGGGATATTGATAGACTGACATTCAGAATGAGGGGGAAGGATATAAGTTTTGATGCAGACCAAGTTGCTTTGTTGATTGGCATGCTCAACAGAGGACCTACAACAACTTGGGAAAAAAACCCGTCAGTGGTGTGGATGCCAGGCAGACAAAGAGTGAACTACTGAAAGGGTCACACGGAGAGTCATCCACTCCACTTGATGAACTTATTATTAAAGTTTTGTTGTCTAATTAATTGTTTCCTACCAGCAATTTTAGTGTGCCCACAAGGCTCTATTCATTTGCCGAGAATTTAGATACTTTTTCTTCATTTAATTGGGCCGCAACGGTATGTGACCACCTCATTGAGCAAGTCAGTGTCTGCGTCGTCAAAATAAGGATGGACCAGCCATTATGATACCTTAACGAATTTGTTTTTCTTCTAACGGTTAGTATATTTTCCAACTCCAGTGAATAATTATTTTTTCTTATTTGGGTAATGATTTCCTGATTTATTTATGTTTCCACAGCTGTGGTTTTATGAACGCATAGTCGTTGTAGATCTGACTGTTCCTGATGCTAGACCTTGCATGCTGAGGTGACCAATAAATATAAGTTGGAACCCTGCAAGGATCCATTTAGTCTTTCAGAGCCTGACTATTGTACAGGTGAATAATATCAATTTTTGTTATAAATTCAGGGTTATGTTTGGTAATTTATATAATTTAGTTATTTGTTTTAATGAATGTACTTGCAGGTTTTTGATTCATTTGTTGATTTAAGGGATGTTGAGCAAAGTTTACTTGCCCCTCGAGTTGACTGGATCTCCTCTCCTGCAAAGTCTATCCCAGAAATAGGAACACACACTTACGCCTTTTGTTCCAAGTCGCAGCACCACGCGACCTACGTATCCAGAGAAATATTCAGGGACCAACATGGGTTTAGCAGAGATCAGTAAAATTCTCAGGGAGCAACAAACATTTTTGTTTCAATTCAAAGATTTTGTAAATAACATATTAGATAAATTAGAGTATAGAATGGTAGAGGACCGTCTAGTGTCCTGAGGGAAAAATTCACCATAACCTTGAAACCATACCATGTTGGGTGAAAAGGCCAGAGAATTTGCACATTTATCACGAGGAGCAGCCTAATGAAAGCCGAACCACGCACATATGAAATTTAAAACAAAGCACCCAAAGCAGCACCATACGCCCAAAAGAACAACAACATTAAATATTTTTAAAATTATTAGAATTATTGAATGTATAATATTTATCTATTTTTCATAGTAAAAATATAAAGAATATAATATTATAATATAACTTCATCATTAACAAAATTTTCGTTTTTTTTTTATTTTACAATATTTCCATATTATAACAATATATCATTCCATTGAGTAAAAATAATTACATATCTCATTCATAAAACTTTTATATCGACACATATAACACTCAAATATTTAATCTCATATCAAAAAATTGTAACATCATCAAATTTTTTAAAACGAAATACACTTTTTTTATTTTTGATGTGTACATTTAAAACGCAAGTGTTATATATATAAATATAAAAGTTCACGTATGGGATATGTAAATACATTAAAATTGTGTCTCCCTCCATTGGGAGAAAAAATTGTGTACGTAAGACGTACGGAGCGTTGCGTACATCAGGTAAGTTACATGAAGGGTATTGGGAGTTATATATGTGTTATACCTCCCGTAACCTCTATGAAGCTTACCTATAACTAGTAAGTTTTGCTTTCTGTTTTCATATATTTGTAGATTACAGGTATATTACAGAGAAGTTACAGGAGGCATAACACGAATATAAACTTCAATATACTCTCTATAATCTATTTAACGTAGGCGAAGCTGCTAGGTCTTGCCTACTCAAAATTTTCTCCTCCATCGGGCTCTCTGTTCGCCATGCGCGGTCCTTCACAGTCGCCGGGCTGAGGCTAATCAAGGATATTCTCGTAATTCCGCAAATGAAAACTTCGCGCTACTCTTCTTATCCAATAAATACCGCCTTCTAATTCTCTCGCTCCTTCATTTTTTACTCCCCCTTCCTCTCCCAAAACCCCAAGCCCTAATCCGCAGAGAAGAGCATGACCGAGTGACAGCAATCCCTCAATTCCTCCAACTAACCATGAGCAGAAACGCTCAATTTATCAGAAAAATGAAGCCTCGGTGAGGATTCAAGCGATGAATCAGTCGATAACCGAGAAACGGAGACGCGGCATCCACATCGCCGGCGCCACCGCCGGCGTTACGAATAAGATTACTTCGCCGTCCGCCACTGAACAATCCGGCAAAATTGTCCGTATCTTCTTCTCGGATGCTGACGCGACTGATTCATCAAGCTCCGAGGAAGACGAGCCCACCCAGCGCCGGCAGGCTAAGAGATTTGTCCACGAAATCGCCATGGTTACCTCCATATCCGGAGACCAGAAGCCCCATCAGCGGCTAACTCTACCGCCGGCCGTTCCGCCACCCGACGGCCAAAGAAAAAAATTCCGCGGGGTTCGGCAGCGGCCTTGGGGCCGATTCTCGGCGGAGATCCGAAATCCCATTCGCGGGAAGAGGGGGTGGCTGGGGAACCTTCGAAGGCGGGGACCCTTCGATACGGCGGAGGAGGCCGCCGCCGTCTACGATCTTGCCGCCCTCCAGATAAAAGGTGAGAAGGCGATTACCAACTTTCCAGTGGGGAAAATAAGGCACGAATCGGAATCATCGGAGGAGGAGGCGGCGCCGCCACCGGCCGTGGAGGCGATGGCTGGGCTTGCAGCGTCGATACCTTCTCCGACGTCTGTCCTCCAATTCAAGGAAGAGGAGGAGCTGCCGTTGGGCGAATGGATCGGCTACGGGGTTGTGGACGCCTTTGGATTCAGCGTGGAAGAGGGACCGCTTTGCCTGGCCGATTCTTTCATCCCAAAGCCGGCGAGTTGGGAGAAGATTGAATCTGAAGAGCTGGATGACCTCTTGCTCCTGGAGGCAGCAGGGCTGCCGAGTTTTGGTTTCGCTACTGAGTGGGAGTGAGTGAGTGACTCGGAGAATAAGGGCATTGGAATTTTTATCTAATTACTGATAACTGAATCATGGTGGTAGTTTTGTGCGATTTATTTTAAATGAGAAATACTAATTTGGCAGAATTCAACGTGGACGGTGGATCTTGACTCATCTGGACATTTGATTATTTTTATTTTCGGGAATATCTGAATTTATTAAAGGTAATATTCCGCATTTAGTTTTTTTTTTTTTTGTAAATTAATTCACAATTCTGCATTATGTAATTAATATAATTTTTTTTTATTAGAATAAATTTGAAGATATTAATTTTGATTCGAGATAAAGTAAATATATACAGATTAATTAATATGTATATTATATTTATATTACAATTAATTTAATGATAGAAATTTAACTACTTAAAAGTTGATTAGAATATTTTGCGTTGTTTTTTTTTTATTATCAAATAATTGGAGAGAATCAAGAAAGGATAATTTTTTGGGATGATTATTTATGTAATTGCGTGGAAATGACGAGGAGCTGGTGATCTACGCTTTTTTATTTTTTTTATTATTTATTTAATAATTATTTATGTGAGAATTTTTTATTTGATTAAGTTACATTTTTAAATTATTTAATTTTATAAAATATATTAAAAGTGTTGAAAACTGATTTGTCAATCACACCCTAGAAATAGAGTATAGGGAGAGGGAGAGGGAGAGGGAGAGGGAGAGGGAGAGGGTGTGTGTGTGTGTGTGAATAGTAATAAACATTAATCAATTATGATTCATCATCCTTTATTCATAAAATGACTCTTATTAATAGAGAAGAGAACAATATGATGATATTATATTTTTGTCTCTGTTTTAAGGAGATCCGTACTAGAATATTACTAGTATTTTACATATATGAGTCTGCGTCTGGCCGCTTTCTGAGTTGGTCGGCCGACCCTGTTCAGCTTGGGGTTAATAAGATTAACTCGGACGACTGAGCATGATCGATATAGGTTTGTTAGTCGATATGGCCTAGATTTCGATCCTTGACTCTTGATAAGGAGCCTTTTGGTGTCCCTATTAAGGTTCAAGAAACTAGAGAACTGGGTATTCCCTTAAATTGATTATTTTGTGTTGGTTGGCTAAGATATCCTTTTTATATTGTTTCTGGCTGAGTGACTCGTTCTTATATTCTCCAGTTATGTATATTTTGTCTTGTGGTTCAGTTGGCTTTCGGTCTTCTTAGCTTAGCTCGGACAACTTCACTTTGTCAAGGAAATAGGCCTCATGATCTTCTATCAATCAGCCCTTCTGCATCGTACTTTTTACTTCTAGAGCAATTGATCTTCTTATGATTCGCAATAAGTCTTTTTTTTATAGATTTTATTTCTCCAATTCTCATACTTCTTGAAAATGACACTACAGTAAGAATAATAAAATTTATTGCAACAATAAATCACATTTATGATTATTTAATGTTTTTTTGATTGAATTCTCTTGATTTTCATTGCTTTGATTCTTATAAATAAGATGTGATTCACGTGATGGGAATCCTTCCCATTCCCTATTTCCTTTTTCTCATTCAAAATCAGCCAACTTTCTGGTGTTTTGACGGAGAACATGTCGAACCCCTCTGATGACATCCCCAACAAAGATATGAAGTGAATGAAAGAAAAGTGTTGTCGTCAAGAAGAGGAAAGCGGGTGCAACTGCACTGACAAATCAGGTGAGGTCATCTTATTTGCTCCTTGGTACTTAACATATAAGCGTTCAGCTGGCCGACCCAACCATCGGTCTGGCTGGCCAACCTTCTGCTATGGCACATGACCCTTCGATTGAATGGCACGCGCAAGAGGATGTTATTTCTCTCATGTGATATGGTTGTGTCGATTACAGTGCTCGAGTTGGATTGAATCCTTGTTATGAAGAGCCTCGATCTTGTTTGTTGGACTTGAACTTTTTTCTTAAGTTCATTTTTTTTATATTGTCTCTTGGTGTAGCTGACCGAGCTTCAATAATTCTGAATGATGACAACTCTGACAAAAGTAAGTGAGAATCTAATTGTGGTGCCAATGATAGTTTCCTAGGCTTCAATCGCATGCGGCTGAATCTTGAGTGAGGATGGCAGTGTTGACGACCCAGAAGATCTTCTTGAGAGACGCGAGGAAGTAGTTGATGGACCCCAAATGTTTGTGGGATCATTGTCTTATCTCGTGGATGAGATTGAGAACTCCTTTGCTCAGTCGACAGAGATCCAAGAGCGCAAGAATATGCGGATTTACTAACTTATGTAGAGAAAGTGAAGGGGATGGAGGAGGTGGTGACTGATCCTGACTTAATGTCTATGCATAGTATAGCAATAGTTATGATGGTATTTTTCACTTATATTTCCTTATTTTGCAACAAAACAAAAAATTTGATCCTAAAAAAATAAGAATTTAACTTTTTAATTTATATATTTATATTGGGATACTACACAAGTATACATATCGTTATCAAGTAATATATGACTTTTTGATTAAGACCTGAATATTGACCCACATGGAAGATTATGCAATATGCATTTTTTAGAAAGTTTTTCTAATTGCTTAAAATAAAAATGATTTTTGCAGGAATTTAAAATTTAAATATTTTTGGTATTTTTTATATTTTAACGAAACATTAACAACTTAAAAAAATAACGAAAGTTTTTGTAGAAGAAAAGTAATTAATATGAAAATATCTTTCTTCTAATAAGTATAAGAATTCTGTTGTGGAAGTATGCAAATTGTGTTGTGTCAAATATGAACAATAATAGTTTTTATCCTTACTAGAGATGCTATAAAGAACATTGACTAATTTAAAATTTTAATAGTTTTGAAGACCAACTAGGCAGGGAAGATACTAGCTCTCACTCTAAAGTTTCCTTGATTCCCTCTACCTGGGGGCTAACATTCTTGTATCAGAACCTAAAACAATAAACCAAGTTGGGGGTTTTAATCTGTCACTTTAAAGTCCTCTAACTCTACACCCATCAATGAATATTTCCCTATTTATTTGCACTCAAAATACCAGCCTGGTTCTTACATGTTCTCACAATAAATTTTAACATCTGGATTGGCCAAATCAAGAAGTAAATGAAGTGCATGGATTTAAATCATCTCAACTTCTTCCATCATTGAAGATCAATACGTTCCACAACTTCCATCAAAAACTTAATTACTAATCATTTAAAGAAGAAAGATAAAAAAACTACTAGAATCCATGGAGAAAACAAACCACACTTTAGTTTAAAAGAAGAAATCATTGTCAAACCAACAACAAGTCTCGATTAAAACCAAAAGTAGTCTAAAACAAAAAAAATAAAAACTTATCTCAAGTCCTCCACCAAACTCTTGAAGTTCCTTTGAATCTCTTCTCTTTACAATCACTCAAAATAAACTAACAAAAAGGATAAAATAAAAGTAAACGTGGTACCTGAAAAATCTCTCCGAACTAACTCCCCAAATTGATGAACTTTCAAAACTTTCCAAGTATTTTCAGAACTCTTTTTAAAGTCCTCTCTTCTTTCTTTTATAGTTTTCCAAGAGGTGCCTTGGAAACTTTTCAAAATATATCTAGATTCGATGTATTTTCTCAAGAGATGCATCCATTCGTGATAATTTTTGTCCATAGTGGTTATAACCACCTATTAAGCCAATGCGTGCCTCAAAAACCTCTTTAAAATTTATAAAAATAGAGTTTACTTGTCTAGTAACAGCTAGTGGCGCTTAAGCGCGGTGCCTCTGGCACTTAGGCACGACCTTCTCTGTTTAATCGGCGCTTAGGCGCCAAAACTCTTTTGCATAATTTTTCACCTTTTTGCTCCAAATTTAATCATTTTTCACTCCTTTAAGCTTTTTTTTCATTTTTGCTTGTATCTACAAGAAAAACACAAATATATCTTCCATTAAAAAACACAAAAAATATATCTTCCATTAAAGCGCAATATCTCAAAAATATGTATAAAAATATGTCTAAAAATACTATATATTTTAGGTGTATCAGTGACCACCTTTCGTCGGGAACTTTCGAACTTGCAAGAAAGGCCTTTGATATTACAGGCTTTATTCGAGACGAATCAACTGAACCAACTTAGGTATGGGTAAGATTTTGTATAAGAGGTTGCTACCGTTAGGATATATCTCGACCGAAGCGAAGACTTTCCCCCTTGTAAAGTATCTTATTTCGGGTTAGTTTTCATGTATTTTATTATTATTAAAATGTCATTTTTAAGAATAAAAGTTATTTTCTATATTATTTTATGTGTTGATGTGATCTTACACATTGAATTTTGAAATCACTATAAAGTTTCATTTTTACCGCAGCATTACGGTTTAGTTTATTCTATTTCTATATGTAGGTACATAAATAAATAAATATATATATATATATATATATATATAATATATTTGGCGTAAAAAAAAGTAGCATGTTTTTTCTGGATAGATTTGAATCCAATGTTTCCGTTCAC